GGTTCCGTAGATAGCCGGGTCCTCTGAGAAATTAGGGTATACTCTAAATTCCTAAATTTACCTAATCTTGAAAGAGGTGAATTTCGGTTCCCACAAGGTGCATCAGCAAGTTTCCTAGTTATAGCAACATAAAACCCTAAACCTAGTTGAGTCGCAGCTCGATAACAAAAGACGAAAAAAGATAAGAAAAAATGGTTTGATTGATTTTGGACTGAACCTTATGAGAGGCTGCCTACGTACCCCTTTCAAGGATCAAGCCGAACGTAGTTCAATTAATAGAGCTGGACAAGAGATCGATCTGCCTGGGCGAGTTCGTCTAGTCACTAAGCGCAAGTCATAGAAACCGAACTTGTCGAGAATAAAGCCTAAGTTTCTATATGTAGAGAGTTCTAAGTCTAGAAAAGTTGTAAAAGTTCTCTCTCCTCTTGACTTCGACCTTACGCTTATATTCTCCTTCTCTAGGCGGTTGGTCTTTCCTTTTCCGCCCGAGTCGCGCTTATCAGAAATCTTACATTTATCTCGATCTTTCCATTTTTATTTGGAAAACTTCTATTTTGTCTTTAAACTTGACATTTACCCATTCCTGCGAATAATTAGTAAACCGTCATCATATCTTTGGGCTGGATCTTGTCTAAAGTCGTGAGTGGCCTTTATCGCGATTAAGGACTTTACGAGTCATTTTGCGATTTAGCCGTTTAATGATTTTAGACGAGATCGTTCCATGATACGATGCCATTTTTATAAAATATCTCGAGTCAATAGTATAGTTTGGCAATGCCCGGTGTTTCGTTTAACCGTTTTCATTTTATATGATTTACTCGAGGTTTTACGAGAAAACAAGTCTTTAGCGGTTTTTTATAAAATATCTCCAGTTAATAATATAGTTTGGCAATGTCAAGTGTTTCGTTTAACCGTTGCTGTTTTATCCGATTTACTCGAGGTTCTACGAGAAAACAAGCCTTTTGTGGTTTTTATAGTAAAACTCCAATGGTAAGACGAATCGAGACGAAACGAGAGATGTTCCGATCACGGTTCAGAGTACGATCTAGTCGAGGGGTATGGATGGTTTGTTTCAGCTCGACAAGACAACGAACTTGTCAAGCACGGCCAGCTCGTTGGTTGGCGAGCTGGACAGGTCAGTTCAGCTGGCCAACAGGTAAAGCACAGCTAGCTCGCCAACAGGCGAGCTGGTTGGTTGTTCGGTTTCGATCGTTTCTTGTTTTCTCGACCCGAGATCCTTTTCGGAAAATATAAGGAGAAGTAATCGTAGACGTTGATTTCAAGGTTACCGTTTTTAACCCCAACAAACAAGAAGGTCTTTTTTGCTGATTTCATACTTTGATACGTGTTTTCCGTAACTTTGTATCTTCGTAGAAAGTCTATAGTTTTTTTGTACGCTTTTTCCGGGACTTTTAGCCATTGATTCCATTGTGACCAATCTTGACCCCAACAAGATCCCCAAAATATCAAGATACCAATGTACGACGGAACGACCGATCCCAAAGCACACTTGCAAACCGTTGAGATCACGATGAGAGGGGCCAAATTCAGGTACAGCGAACGAGACGCCGGCCAATGCTGTCTCTTCGTTGAAAATCTTAAAGGAGCGGCGCCCGGATGGTTTTCTCGTTTGAAGCATGATTCTGTCGGAAGTTTCTGCCAACTAGCATCGGAATTTCTAAAACAATATTCAATGTTCATAGTTCGCGAAACTTCGGACTTCGACCTTGGAAGCCTATCCCAGGAGGAAGACGAGCCTCTCCGAGATTTCATAAAGAAGTTCAAAACCGTCATGGCACGGGTAAGCGGAATCAGTGACAAAGTAGCAATCAACGTGCTCCGGAAAGCGCTCTGGTACAGGTCGAAGTTTAGAAAATGGATAACCTTGGAAAATCTGTGATCCATACACGTTCCACATTACGTCATCAGTGGAAAAGAAACGAGGGTACTGTCGTAGAAACATAAGCCGGCAAGGACGTCCTCGAAAGACCCGAACCCGGATCAAAAGTCCAAAAAGAAAAGCTCTCGTAATGAAAAAGAGGAAACCCAGAGGACCCACAAATACGCCATCAACTCTGGACCGGAATCAGGGCGCACCATGGTATATGTGGACCTGAAACCCTGCTTACGATGAAAACGTCTTCTGCGAGTTCCACCACACTCGGGGTCACTCAACTGTCAATTGCAAAGTCCTTGGAGAAAGGCTGACCTCAAAATTGCTCGCATGGGAACTCTCCTAGGTAACAAACGTCAAAGACCACATCCGCGACTCCGGTCGCCCTCCAAAACCCGATAAACCTCACCAGACTGAAAACCCATCTGAAGGAAAGCAGTCTGGCGAGAAACACGGTAGGATATCAGACAAGAAGGGCAACGATAAAACGACCGGTCTTTAACAAATTTTCAGTCCGGTCTTTAACAACGTTACCATCTCCCACATATATCAAATTTTCAGCTTCATTGGGTTTCTGGTAATGGAGGCAACCCTGCATTGATATACTTGTGTGAGTTGTAGCACCTAAATCAACCCACCACATATTTTTGGTACAAAACCTAAATTGACCTCAGAACAAACCAAAGTGAGAGTCTTACCTTTAGCAGCACGCCTTGCTTAGCACATGCCTTCTTCATGTGACCGTGCCTATGGCAAAATAAGCATTTTTGATCTTTGGCGTTACTTGATATCTGCTAACAACAACCATCACAGAGTGAACATGATCATCGGACGATCACAATACTCCAACGACTCTGTTTCGGCTATCAAAGCGTACAAGCGCAAAGCCAAGACAAGTGCCAACTCGTCACACTGGTCCACACCCTGCGACTTACAAAAGGGAGTGATTACCTTCGATGAAGAGAAGCTGGCAGGATCGACCATCCTAACTCCGATCCACTCGTGATCAATCTTGTCAAAAGAGATCTCGAGGTCACCAGGATTCTTGTCGACACCGGCAGCACCGTCAACGTTATCTTCCGACATACCCTCAGAAGAATGAATATCCTGCTGGGGGAACTCGTGCCATCACCGAAGCCGTAGACTGACTTCTTCGGCACAACGTCAATGACACTCAGGTCGATCAAATTGTCTGTTGCAGGAAAAGAGGTGACCAATATCGTCGACATCGTGGTCCTCGAGCCATCTACAAATTCATTATGGGCACCCCTTGGCGCAACGACTTGAAAGCAGTCCTATCGACTTACCACATGGGCATCAAATTCCTGACAAATAACGGAATCACTGCAATCTGGGGATGTCAGAAACAGTCGAGATGCTGTTTCCTGGCCAAACACAAGCTCAGACAAGTAACAACCACCTCGATGGTGAACTCGAAACGCCCAAAAATAACTTCAGCATCAATTGAAAACCCCTTGGACAAAAGCGACTCCGAACCATCAACCAAAGCTGCGACCAACGTACCGCCAGTTCCAGCGTCCAACACTTATACCCAACCTGAGGAGACATACCCGGACAAAGACGTCGACCCTGCAACTGATGCAGTAGACGCGAACGCACCAGCCGAGTAAACACACTCGCAAAAAACTCAGAACCACGAGATGGTTTGATCCCCGAAAGGGTTATGTAGGCAGCTCGTCAAAAGACGAGTTCAACTATCTCCCTCTCTAAAAGGGGGGGAGTGGGTACATATAAGAACAATTGTATATTCTCTCATTCTGAAATATTTTCCTTGCATTCAATATTTTTGAAATGTTTCCGGAAATAATATTTTTAAAAAACTTCCTTTAATTCGCAATTAAAAAAAAACATGTCAAACACAAACGAAAAGCATGTTTCCGAAAAATAAGCGAGACGTCGCCCAAATTTTTGAAACACGCTCGAAGTCCTTTCGCGACTATAAAATAAAAATGTTCGACGATTGGCCCTGTCGAGCACTCTAGCCGTCCTAAACAAACACACTTTACCTTTCTTACGAATGGTTCTCTTACATCCATCTAGGATAAATAGCGTGTTATAAAAGAAATCCGAAATTTTGGTCAGCACTTTTGGAGTGCTCGATTCTGACAAGACAAGTCGTATAAGCCGAGAACATATCGCGGACATTAAAGCGGTGCAGACTCAGGTTGAAATAGCAACATGCGAAACAAAATCCGACTAGTCATCGCACAGCCTTAACCAAAAGAAAACCTAGGGTTTGCCCTAAACCCAGCACACTTGTCTGTGACGTCTCAAGGCATGAAGTATCGAAAGATATGAGATCCCGAAAGAATGTCTCTTTGTTCACATCGAAACGCTCGCAAATTTACTTCGCACACCCGAAACGAGCAACGAATAGGAAAATCTACAAAGAGTTAGATACGAGATGAGAACTCGTACTCTTCCTTCTACTTCTAATCAAACAAAAGAAATACTTCAACACGTTGAAAATAGAATCATAATTTCATAATAACATCGAAAACGTCAAGGGATTCGAAGCCACAAACGGCCAGTCACGATGATCTACAAAGTGGCCACACTTGGACCAAATATTAAACATAAACGGCCCGACACTACTAAGTACAACCTGGCCACTCTTGGTCACACACCAAGTCATCAAATAAGAAAACATATAACCTTCAAGGATAATTGACGAAGTCCCGGGTCATCGATCTTCCAAACAAATAGTCTTCAACGTTCAGCGAAGCCGACGGTTTTTTTCACCTCATCCATCTCATCGGGAGCACATGTCTCAACTTCCACCGTATCAGGAGAGACTGGTATCTGATTCCAGTACTACCGCATCCTCTCCTAGATCTTGGGAATCACAAAATCCCTTTGCCTACGGTTTGCAAGACCATTTTGCCTCTCGAACTCGACCTCGTACGAGTAATTGGGGAGTTGCGTGAGGAATAACCCACTAGCAGTATCACGACACTCGCGGTAATCCCCAAAATACTTGTAGGTTTTCGAAAACTCCTCGAAATCGTAAGAGATCCCTTCGTGAACTCTCACGATTTCAGCGACCTCCCTCTTCCCTCGCCTGTAGGATCGGCGGACAAAACTCTTAAATCTCGCCTTTCAGACGGGCCACCTCCTTACCCTGTGACTCAGCTTTGAACTTAGCCATGCTATCCTCCTGGGCCTTCGCGCTAAGAGCTTTGTTCATCTTAACGAGACCCTGCAAAAGAACTCTAGAACTCAGGAGAAACTCTCGAAAAAATAAATGTACGATTACATGAAAGTGAAAGTTTACACCGTTAACCATCTTGAACGCCTCAGCAAACTCCGGGGCATCACTTGATCCGGTCTCAGGAGGGGTGGACTCGGTATTAAGAAAGTAATCAAGGTCGATCGGGGCGTTTCCGACTGCAATACTAGCAAGATAATCTCCGAGCGCGTCCTCCGAGTATCGCCTCTCAGCCTCATCATCATCAATGATGACGACTCCCTTGTCTTTGCGACGCCTTGAACTCTATCTCCTTGATGAAGGTGCGACAGGGACGAACCCATCCATGCTTGGTTCACCCTCCACTTCCGCTGGAAAATCAGGCTGAAACAAAGAGAGGTGGAGAGCAACAGCTAGACGGACCTGTATCGGGGAGAAGCAATGCCAGTAAAACTCCCCGGTAAGAAGTAAGTCCCTCGTCTCGCTCAAACCGAACGGGACCCAAAGGCTAAGATTAGCCGCTACAAAAAGGTAACAATGACAAGTGTGAGACCTAAAATCACAAAAACCAACATTAACGCAAGAATAATCAAAAGTATCTCTACGAGTCCATAGAGTCTGGAATCAGGGAATGAAACTCTCTTCCACTGAGGCGTTGTCGACACAAACAAAGAAAAAGTGCTCCTTCCAGAACTTGTAGTGCGACAAAAATCCGTTTATGATCTGCCAATTTGGCTGATGGCTCACTTGAACCATGTCTTTGTTCCCTTTACACTGCAGCAATCCATCGAGATGGTCGACATCCAGAGTCAAACCTAACACGTAGCTCAGCACCAGAATTCCAATAATGTGCTGAAGACTACGCGGGGTGATCTGACTGATCGACACCCCGAAATGACTCAAGAGCCGCACAACAATGTTGGGGTCAAAATCGGTACGACGGAATTAATAGCCAAAACTTTCCGCAAGAATACAAAAAGAACAGTTTTATAAAGCTCGAGAATCGTCTTATAAAACTGGAAAAATCGTTTTATAAAACTCGAGAAATCGTTTTATAGAGCTCGAGAAATCTTTTATAAAGCTCGAGAAATCGTTTTATAGAGCTCGAGAATCGTTTTATAAAACTCGAGAAATCGTTTTATAAAGCTCGAGAATCGTTTTATAAAACTCGAGAAATCGTTTAATAAAGCTCGAGAATCGTTTTATAAAACTCGAGAAATCGTTTTATAAAGCTCGAGAATCGGTTTATAAAACTCGAGAAATCGTTTTATAAAGCTCGAGAATCGTTTTATAAAACTCGAGAAATCGTTTTGTAAAGCTCGAGAATCGTTTTATAAAACTCGAGAATCGTTATATAAAACTCGAGAATCGTTTTATAAAACTCGAGAAATCGTTTTATAAAGCTCGAGAATCGTTTTATAAAACTCGAGAATCGTTTTATAAAACTCGAGAATCGTTTTATAAAACTCAAGAATCGTTTTATAAGACTCGAGAAATCGCTTTATAAAACTCGAGAAACCGTATTATAAAACTCGAGAATCGCTTTATAAAACTCGAGAAACCGTTTTATAAACTCGAGAATCATTTTATAAAACTCGAACGTCGTTTTTATAAAACTAAAAAGTCGTTTTATGAAATCCGAAGATCGTTTTATAAAACTCGAGAATCGTTTTACAAAACCGCAAAAAACCGAAAAAGGCGTAAAACGCGAACTAATCGCAACTAGTTCACCCATCGGCGATCTAAGCCGGGCCCGGCTTAGATCGCCGATGGGCGAACTAAGGGTCACTCTTTAGATCGCCCACGGGCGATCTAAGAAACACTCTCTAGATCGCCCATCGGCGTACTAAGCAAGGCCCGGCTTAGTACGCCGATGGGCGAACTAAAAAACTTCCCGAACACTCCGCGTCTCGATTTTCCGCATTCCCAATTCGAAACTTACGTCTTTCGACAAGGTCGCGTTCTAAACCACGGTCGAAATATCTCTCGTTCCATCTCGATCCGAATTACCATTCGAGTTTTACGATAAAAACCGTAAAACTTCGTTTTCTCAGAAAGAACTCGAGGAAATCGTATAAAACGGCAACGGTTAAGCGAAACACCGAACATTGCCTAAACTATACGATTTATTCGAGATTTCTCGTTAAAATCGTAAAAAACGCCGAGTAAGTCGTAAAAAACGTGTTTTTAATAAAAAGTCGAGTAAATCGTAAAACTTCGCGATTAACTCGAGAAATTTATTAAAACGACGTCAGATCAGGAAACGATCCCATAAAAAGTCGGAAAACGGTTTTATCGCAAAACGGCCCGGGAGGACCTAAAACGTGATAAAAACCCATCTCGCGATTTTAACGGAATCGAACCCGCAGATTTGATAACGTTTTGACGATTTACTCGCAGAAAGCAAATAAAAGTCAAGTTTGAACGTAAAAGGAAGGTTTGAAGAGAAATAGAAGATTTCCGCAGAAGAAAAGGAAGGATCGAGAAGAATGGAAAATTCCCGATTTAAGTCAAATCTGGGCGAAATGGAAAGATCGGATAGCCAAGACGAGAAGTATATAAAGAGGAGGTCTAGGGCAGAAGCACAGGGACGAAATTCAGAGCTCTCACCACCAAAACTAGCATTTAGGAATATTTCCGTTTTTCTGTTAGCGAGCTGCGTCTCAATTAGGGTTTTCTAGTTCTTACGCTTTCGGCGATTCTTTTTGTACCAGTTCAACACAGATTCGGAATAAGAACCTCTTTGCTCTCTATTTTCGTTTATTCTCATTTAAATTCTAAGTATTTTTGTCATCTTATTTTCGTTGTGCGGTTCTCGCAGATAGCCGGTTCCTCCGGAAACTTAGGGTTTTCCCGAAGTTTCCTTATTTACGATTTATTTGACAGTAGGGTGAAATCGACTCCCACAGTTTGGCGCTAGAAGGAGGGGGGGGGGGTCGGATCTATCTTACACCATAACCGCAACATGACCAACGAAGAAACGACGACTGGTGACAACCAATCTCGCGACGAACGCGACAACGTTGAAACACCGCTACCAAAAGACGCGCCTGCGGCCAACGCTACAAACGCTAACGCCGAGACCGTCGAAAAGATGCTTTCCGAGTTTAACAAAAAATCGGAAGAGCAGGAAAAGCTCATTGGTTCACTCGCAAAATGGCTCGAAACCCTAACTGCGAGAACCAAAGCAATTCGCCCCCGCGGAACAACCAAAATCCGCGGAAGGAGACTCGATTTCGGTGCTCCTACGGATCGTCCCAGAATCGATCAGGGAAACGTACCGGAAAAGGATTCCGAACACCCCGACACGACGCTGAACGAATCGGAAAAATCTCCTACTCGCGAACAGGAAACCGAGCGACCAGGACGACTCGACAGACGAAGACGCCGACGTTCATCCCAGGAGAAGGAAAACTCGCAGTCCTCAACCGGAGTCATCTCCCGAACGTTCCTTTACTGGAGACGAAGGGGAACCCAACTTCGCGCGATACTCAAAAACCGCCGAGGAGCGATCTCCGGTCACTCGCGGCAAACGCCGACAAGGTCGGAAAACTGCTGACGATCAGACCGAGATACGCGATCTCCGCGAATACATTACCAATACGGCCGCAGCGGTAAAAGCGGTGAAATCTCAGATTCACCACGCAACCAGCGCCGCACCCGAGATCGATCGGCTGCTGTACGAGTCTCGGAAAACGCCCTTCACGGCTCGCATCACCGAGATCAAACTGCCCGATCCCAGAAAGCTTAAGGTGCCAACTTACGACGGGACGACCGATCCCAAAGCGCACCTGCAAGCGTTCCAGATCACCATGGGACGAGCCAAACTCAAGGACCACGAAAAAGACGCAGGTTACTGCCACCTCTTCGTCGAAAACCCTAGTTTGCCTAAAATTCTTCTCTATAGTTTGCCTAAACAAACCCTAGTTTGTTCGCGGAAAAACTCTAAGTTATTCACGGAAAAATCCTAGTTTGTTCGCGGAAAAACCCTAAGTTATTCGCGACAAAACCCTAGGTTGTTAGCGGAAAAACCCTAGGTTACTCACGGAAAGCACCCTAGGTTTTTCGTGGAACAAACCGTAAGTTACTCGCGAAATAAACCCTAGGATACTCGCGGCTGTTCGCAAAAAAAAAATCATTAGGTAACTCGCGGAAAAACCGTAGGTTACCCGCGGCAAAACCCTAGCTTTACCCGCGGAGAAGTCCTAGGTCACTCGCGGAAAAACCCTAGGTTATTCGCGACAAAACCCTAGATTGTTCGCGGAAGAACTTTAGGCTACTCACAGAATCAGGCAATACTATCCAGCCGAAAAGACGGTGAGTTGGCCAAGCAACCTAGCTTGCCATCTTGGCGAGCTGACCGGCTTTCCACCTCGTCCTAGAGGCACTGACTTTTTCCCGAGGGTCCGCACAATCCAACTCTTAGCTACGGTGAGCCCGATCGTACTCTAAACAATAATCGCGCTGCTTTTCGTTTCGTCTCAATCGGA